CAGAAAATGGGAAGGCAGAACAATTACTTCAATACTTATTCCACTATTTCGGTAGTGATTATTTAGAAATCCCAACTTGCAATGATATAGTTAGAGAAAATGAGAATGGATCGACTTCAATTCTTGAACGAGCCTTAGCTAACCAGAAAAATATACCTTTTATGCCTACTGATATAGAAGAATCCAATGAATATATTAATGGAACCCCTATTATATCTTATATTTATATGACCCACTTATCAATAGTCAGAAAGCGGTAGTAACTATTACAGGCATTAAAGTTTTCTTTAATATCCGAATTCCTGACAATAAAGATATATATCTGTTTAAAGGCGAAATAAAAAATATTCTTGCCAATGAAAAGGATGACAAGGAGAAAACTGTAGATCTAGGTAAAATCAGAATAGAGCATATAAAGCATTCCCAATTCATAGTTACCATACAGAAAAAAGTCATATCTACGAATTTATACGACAAATACTTTCCAAAGAAAGATAGCTTTAATATTATCCAAAAGCATAATCTGGAAACTGCATCAGATAATCGTAGTATATATTACTACAAAGTCACTCGTGAATACCGAATTTCTCTTACAGGGTGGGTAATAAACAATTACAGTTATACTAAAAGTTCTTCTCTTTGTTCATATACATTTAGAGTATCTGTAAAGAATTTTCATTCCATAAAAGACTTAGATAAAATAAGCAATTTATTTTCAACTTCATATATGACACATGATTGAACTCTAGTACTAATATAGGATATAGAAACCTACACAGAATGTGGGGTAGATCAATTACCTCGACTATGGCATTCAGAAGATAATGTATTTATGATTTGTATAACAGTTCAGTAGAGAGATGACTCTACTCTACTAAAGCAAATCTGTCTTGTCGATGTAAAAACTGAGCCAGACCCAAATTGGATCACAATCTATGTAGAAATCAAACAAATTTATTAAAGGCATTTGCGCTATGTTGGCGAGCACTAGCACCAGATATTGTAATAGGTTTCAATAATTCGGACTATAATTGGCCTTTCATCGTAGAGAAGGCTAGCCGACTACATATTCTTAAATAGATGTAGTTACAAATATTTGCGAACTCACGACAAAGTACAAACAAACAGATTTTATGTTGGAATTATTATAGAAACATGGGGAAAAGCCCAGGTTTTATGGAACATTCTTCAGATATTGCCAAAAACAGTCATAAAGTGGTTAAAGAAAACAAATGTGAAGAAGAAGATTTTAGTCAGCTAGCAGTGAAAATTAAGATAAGTTCAGAAGAGTTCTTTATTTCTTCTTTTCTGAAGTTGCCGAGGTGTATTCCAATTGATGTTCGTGCAAGTTTCAAAAAACTATATCCATGATCTGAAGTGCAAAAAGGAAGCTCATTTAAGTTTTACTTAAAAATGTGTGATCTTGGAGGTAAAATTGATATGCCAATAAACTATATGCGGGATTATTACAAAATAGCAAAAGAAAATAATTCTATAGAGTCCGAAAAACATATTCGTGAGGTAGCAGAATACTGTATTATTGATATTCTACGATGTCAATAGCTTATAGTTAAGCATAATGTGATAAATGACAATAAAGAAGTTGCATTAATTGCTTATATTTCTCTATTTGATGCCTATTATTGTGCAAATGGAATAAGGGTATGTAATCTCTTAGGTGCTGAAGCCTGGAAGCAGAATATACTAATTAGTATGATACTATGTAAAGATGTCGAATCTGAAAAATATCCCGGTGCCCATGTATTTTCTCCGGTAAAAGGCCTCAATAATAAGCATTCAGTTACAGGTTTGGATTTCGTATCATTATATCTATCTATTTTCATGACTTATAACTTTCACCCAAAATGATGATATTAGAAGAAAAAACAGCTACCAAACTACAACAGAAAGGAATACATCTTCATAAAATCGAATTCACTTTTAATGGTCGAATATTACAAGTCTGGTTGGTATTACATGAAAACAAGATCGATAAAAAAGGCTTGTATCTATTAGTTCTGAAAAAACTTCTGGATAAGCGTAATAAAATAAAGTTCGATTTTGCTATTCAAGGTAAGAAAAAGGAGTATATAGAATTGGTTATTAGTAAAATGAAAGAGAGAAATTTATCATTAACGGATGCTATAGATAACGTCTTGGATAATGCAGAAAATAAAGAAAAACGTTCTGCTAAAATTGAAATCTTAATTTCTTTTAGTAAAGATTATAACGTTTTTATAACAGAATATGAATCTGTATGTTTTGACTATATCTGTTTGGATTCAAAACAAAAGGCAGTAAAAGTTTATATGAATTTATTTTATGGTGAGACAGGTAATAGTCTATCTCTATTCTTTCTACACCATATTGCTGGAGCTGTTATTTCAGCAGGTCAGTTCAATATTAAGCTTGTTGCAGAATACGTACTAAAAAAAGGATATAGAATTCAATATGCCAATACTGATTCATTATATCTTACCTATTCCAAAGATAATTACAAGAAATGTGATCTAGCTTATAGAAACAATTCAATTTCAATACTAGAGCATTGGACTGAAATGGTTAATATTAGCATGAAAGTAATGGAGAAATTACGCAATGAAGTGAATACCTATCTTAAGATAAAAAGTAGATCAACTTATCTTAAAATGGCTTATGAGGAGGTATTATTTCCTGTTGTTTTTATTGGTAAAAAGAAATATTTTGGAATTCCTCACAAGAAAAAAGTAAACTTTAAGCCAAAAAGTTATTTATTAAAGGGATCGATACTGTGAAGCAGGAACAATCAAAACTCTTTATAATTATTGGTGAATAAATTATATGGAAAGCTATGGAAGTTAAGGATAACCAATCACTCTATAAAATTGTTGAAGATGTTCTCAGAGATGCTGTAACAATGGGAGTTTGACCAGTTCATCCAAACTGATATGTGGAAACCTAATGTTCAAAACTTAACTGTTCAGCAGTTCATAGAGCGAATAAAAAAAATCTATAAAGATAAGATTCCTGAACCGGGTGAGTATTTCAGTTATATAATACCCAAAACTGATATAGATTTTGATTTATCTGGTAAAAAGTTAAATCTAACTAAGGGTGACCGAATAGAATTTGTTGATGTGGCAAAGAAACTCAAAAAGGACATAGATTTATCATATTATCTCCAAAATAAAATTATTAGCCTGTGCCAGATTTATCAACTATGATGATAAATCCCAACCACCGCTCTCTGATAAGATCTAGCAACTCAAAGACTCAGATAATAAATATAAGCAAATTGATGAGTATTCTCAGAAAAAAGCCAAGAAATAGCTTGAGGAATATGTAGATGGCTTGAGTGGTATTAGTCCCAAAATGATGCTTAATCATGAATATACTTACAAATGTGTCTACAAGAATGCAATCAATACTACACAATCTATATTACATCAGAAAATAGGTAATACCTATGAGATATTTCATGGGGAATAGCTTAATTTTGAGAATTTTAAGGCAACTAATACTGTTGAGAGATTATGGGAAAAGTTTGTGGAATATGCCAGAGCATACACTGAGAATGATAATCTCTCAATAAGTATTGAGACAAAAAAATCTATATGCTCTGACTTTACAAAATGCCTAAATGCACTTATCACATTTATCGAGAAATATAATACCTTTTTCTATCATTTAGTATATCATATGTGATATAAAGAACACATATCCATCCCAGATAAGATTGGATGATCTGAAACTATGAGAAAAAATGAGATAGTTGTCGAGCAACCTATTATACCCAATATAACGAAAGCCGATCAACTGGCACTTAACGATTTTCTAAATATATAGAAGAGGGCAGTTAGTTTAATATAAATATATCTTTATATTAATGATACTTATACAATATTAATAATATTTTTTCGTATATAAATAATACTCAAGTTCAAATATAATGTATTAATAATCATCTCTATAATTTCTCGACACCTGAAGCATATCATGACATCTCCTACAAACTATCCAAAGATATTCGAAATTTAAAGATGCTGATTGATTATAGTTTTTCTTTCTATGAGCATTTATCTGATAAGTTGGATATTGTTTCATTAAATCTCCAATGCTTTCATTTTCATTCTTTGCCACATAGGCTTTATGAATACCATCTACAATAACTTTTATTGCATTTATGTTATGTATATTAGAAGGTTCTGGTTTAAGAGTGATGATATCTGATTTCTTAAATTTATAACCACCACGAAATCTCATTCCAACCACCATAAAGGATCATATAACAATGCAATCTGCATATAATGGTGATGATACTTCTTTACAACTGCAACAAATATTAGACATGGTTAAAAAGGTATTATATTTTCGTACATAAAAAATATCAAAGTTTAAATAGATAGTTCCTAATATCTCATCCACGTACCCATAACTGATCACTTTTTTTATTTATTCCCTATATGCGTCTCAATATAATAAACCACATAACGGCAATAATCAACAAGGTAAGAAAAATATATGCTAATAGCAGTGACATCAAAGTGCTTGCCACAGCAGGAAGAGGCAAAGCCTTGAGACCAGGCCTCATCTAAGAATTCGATTCAATTAAAGTAGACATATTATTCTCACTAATTTCACTAATGCTAGTTTCATTACTTACCTTGGAGTTGGCCTCGGTATTATTTTTTGATAGTTTGGTAATCTCATCATTAGTATATATCAATATATTACCATCAGTTTTTTCAGTTTGATCCATATTTTTTCTACGTATAAAATATTTACTGAGATCAGTACTACCAAAGATATATTATCAGACTTAGTAATATTTTTTTCATCATCTTCACCAATGACGAGTTTTGATATAGCCTCCGATTTCAGGCATTCAAGCTGATTGGCTTTCGATTTCAATTCACTCTCTATATTTTCCAATTCAGCTATTTTGGATTTGAGAAATAAAATCTCAGATTCTTTTTTCGATAAGTCATTTTGAATTGAAATCACATCTTTTTGAACTGAAGACAACTTACTTTCCAATATCTTGATCATAGACTCAAGTAATCTAATTTTATTGGATTTTATAATATTCTAGGCTTTGTACTTAGTATGGAAAATCTGTGATTGGGTAAGTTGGTATGTAAGGTTAGTATTCTCCACTTTCAATTGTTTTAAATCTCGATCCCACACTTTTCGTTCTCAATTAAATCCCTGCTCTTGTTTTAATTAATTGGCTCATAATATTTTGTTGCAGGTATTTAGATCAGATATAATTTTTGTAGTATAACGTAATTCTTCATTGATATTCATATTAACTATACATACATATCTTTTTTCAAATATAAAAAAATAAAGAAAAAATTAGCAAAGTTGGGTATATATGTATATTGAGTTTGAT